TGCTGATAGTGCTGATGGTGCTGATGGTGCTGATGCTGATGCTGATGCTGATGCTGATGCTGATGCTGATGCTGATGCTGATGCTGATGCTGATGCTGATGCTGATGCTGGGTGATGATGATGACGACGATGACGATGACAATCACGAGGACGATGATGATCATCATCATGTTCATGATCATGACGATGAGGCTGAGGATGAGGATAAGGAGGAGGAGGAGGAGGAGCAGGGGCAGGAGGGAGGAGGGGGAGGAGGAGGAGGAGGACGGCTGCTGCTGCTGCTGCTGCTGCTGCTGCTGCTGCTGCTGCTGCTGCTGATGAATCTGATATGATGATGATGCTGATGATGCTGATGCTGATGATGCTGATGCTGATGATGATGATGATGATGATGATGATGATAACTGATAACTGATAACAATAACAGATAATAGTAGTAGTAAAGATGATGTTGGTTATTATTACGACAATGACGATGACGATGGTGATGCTTATGAGCCACAAATGCGAGGCTGACGTCGACGCACACGGCAAACTTGTGTTTCAAGCAGCCAGTACTGCCCCGCGCAACGACCGCGCTGTTAGACCAGAAGCCACCGGAGCACTGAGAGTGGCTGACCACCCTCGGAATGTCCTGAAAACCATGGCTCCAGCGAGAGAGCTGTGACTCTAAGGTGAGCGGGCCGTAGAGGCCTGAGCTGAGAAGCCGCTGGCCGGTTCTGTCCCGATCCATGATCTCATCTTGACTTCAAGCAGCAGATACTGTAGCAGCACAGTCACTGGAGAGGTAGTCTTCCGCTGTAGTCTGGTAGGCTTGGCTGATGGCTTTGAGGAGCCTGATCACATGGCACGGGCACAAGCCATTCCGCCATGAAGGCACCGTCCCCTTTTGGCCGGCCTCCCACCAAAAGCGCACTGATTCAAGCAGCTGGCCTTCCAAGCCAGTGATTGAACCAATCCAAGAGCATCTGCAGCCGCTACTAGTTACTGCTACTCTGCGCAGACCCGAAGGCTGCTGCTCCGCAAACCTCCGCCGCACCTCCTCCGAACTTTGTCGGACAAAATTGCGGCCATCGCGTTGGACAGCCCATCTCAGAAGGCTTGCAGATTGCCCCAAGCTGGCAGCTGTGCATAAATGTCATCGTAACTAACGGCGCCACACATCTACAAGATGTCGGAGATGCCGCGCACAGCGCACCTACCGCCAAGTGGTTCTGATGCCTGGATGTTTTCCGAAGCTGGAGACAGGAAACTGCTGGCCTCGCGCAGGTGCTGGCGCAGTTGCATCTGTCTTTCTCCCCTGGTCCGAGACGAATATGTTTCAGATGAGGGCATGATATTACAGGCCTGGTTTTCAGGATGTCCTCTCCGCCTTTGCTTTGACGCTGGAGCTCTTTGGCCAGCCTGCCATGGGAAGGTGTAGGGGCCCAATGCAAAGAGGTGCACCTCACGAGACAGGCCCAGGTCGCTGGTTCGTCTGCATGGCTAAGTACAACTTGCCAATGTACTTTTCGCCTTGGCCGTGTGTACGCATGAAATTCGGTATCTGTCACATTCAGTCTGTCACGATGGTCAGCCAGCCACAATGCTCCGAGCCGAAGAGAATGCCGAAGAAGAGGATGGGATCAATTGAAGGCAGCTCTGCCTCTAACAGAAGCTCTGGACGGCCATTGCGTGAGGTGTCTTCCAGGCCTCCTTGGTTGCCTCCTCACCTATTTGATCGTATCGCTCGCGCAGCCTCGGAACTGCTGAAAACTTCTGAACTCGAAAGGACGTCTTGGACAGCGATCTTCAGCCCTTCCCACGTTTCAATGCTTCGTCGCGTGGCTGAGGGTCACTGAGCACACGGTACGCTGCCGAAAGCTGCTGGAACTTCACATGCGCTTCCTCGTCGCCGGGGTTCTTGTCCTCGGATGCAGCGGCCAGGCTACTAGTATCACTTTCAGGTCTCTCGCTCTCTCTCAGCACAACGGGTGATGGTGAAGCCAGTGGAGATGCGGAAAGTGTGGCTACCAGAGGAGATGTGCCGTATCTCAACCTGGACTGTCATGCTGCGTGTAGTTCTGAAAATTAAAAAGCATGACTCAGAAGGACTGTCAGAAAGCTTGACCAGCGAGCAACCGCCACTGAACTATCCGTATGTGCGGGCTGTTATTCATCATGGTTGCAGCCTGTAACTCGAAAATCGCCTTGCGCTTGCTTGCGCTCTTGCGTGCACACGGTTTTAAGCACATTCCCACCTTGAAGCCTCGATAAACCTTCTTACACTACTTTATATCGCCCTTGCGCTCGCCCTTGCACGTGCTTGCACCGTGCTGGTTTTGCCGCAGGTCCTAAACCTGCATCAAAATGTCAAAGTGCACTGTTAGGCTGCGGTCAAGAGGCGGGGTTTAGAACAACTCTCATGTACGAGTACATATACGATCATATAATATATGGTCATGCATAAAGAAAATTATATGAACCACTGTATGTATGTGTGCCCAGGCATCGAATTCGGACTGCCTTTCACAACGGCTTTCGAAGAAAAACAGCGCTTCTTGTACGGGCAAGTCTCTGGATGCACCTGCAATGCAGCTTTGTAATAGGCCTTCTTAATGTCGGCAGGCAGAGATCCAGGCTTCACGCCGATGATGTCGTAGTAGGACGAGTCCTGACTGCACAGCCCTACGTCGCAACCGAGCCTCAAAACTGACATGGAAGGCCCTTGAACGGAAATCAGTACCAGAGCATACCAGAACCGATACCTGTCAAAGCAGATACTGGACCCTTAGGGGGTTCATCTGAGAGTCTGCAACCTCCTTCTTGTAGGCACTGCCGAACAAGGGCGAGTCCTCCTCCTTGGTTTCACTTCCGTGTCAGACCGAAGCAATGGCCCGTGTCCCGCGTCCCGGCCAAGCCACTGATTCGCAGTCCTCCGGAGCCTTGTCGGCCTGTGCACATCGCAGAGCCGCGCGGTGCCATGCGCACCTTCCGCGGTTCGCGGTGCGCACGCTGTGCACGGCGGGGACCCGGCCTGCGCCTCTTCCTCTTGAAGGTTAACGAAGTCGTCCACCCACTTGCCGCGAGTACCTGGCTGTCACGCCCGCTCAGCAGAGGCAACTCTCGGGCCAGGACACAACTTGGATGTCACTGACTCGTGCAACCGCGGTGCTATCCCATCTCGTCCCATCTTGCTGCATGAGGGCCTGCACAGGGCGCACCTAAACTCCTGGGGGTCAAGGGATCAGTGCCCCACAACCCGAACCAGAGCTGTGGTTCCACCTCCGGTGTGTTCAGCATGCCCCGCGCCACCTCCGGGCAAGCAACTTACAGTGGGAAAGTGTGGAGAAATGTGGAGAGTTCTGCCTGGGCAGCGCAGGCAGCGGTGCCGCAGGCCGCCAAACCCAAAGCAGCGGCGCCGCCCTGAGCCAGGCCCAGCACCTCGGATAAAGAGGCCGACGACGCAACGACACAAGCGCCCGCGACACCCGCTTGTGCCGCTTCTGTCTTTCTTGCGGCCGGAGCGGCGAAGCCGGGCACGCCGCCCTCAGAAGACGCGTGCGAGACGTCTCTGCTTGAGACTCCAAGCCTGACGTATTGGCGCCTCGGAGAGGCCGACGGCGGGCGCGGCCACCAACGCCGCGCCGCCTGCCGCAAAGCCGACAGAGGCGGCCGTGAGGCCTCGGCAGAAAGCAGAGCAAGAATGGGCAACGAACATCACGTCACGTCTCTCGTCTCCTGCCTCTACTTTGCAGGAGACCTATGGAGACGTGCACCAATACGAGCATTTGCAAGCACAATTATTGGCTGTCCGTGGTCAAATCCGTGGCTGGGCCAAGAAGCCACTCCCCACGCCGTCGATGAAGTCTCTCGGTCGGGTCACATCCATGAAGCCTCCAGTTGCAATCCGATTCACCTCGATCGTATGCATCTAAGGCCGCCAAGGAGCTGGGAGCTGTCACCTCCGACTCGTCGCGCCCTTGCTGGGCCTGTGCTTGGGCCTGCAGGACGGGAGGTGCACTCAGGATGCAGAAGGCAGGAGCCATGCCATGCGCCCGCCTCGCCGCGCACCGCCAGCGCCCTCTCTTCGGCCTCCGGCCTGAGCGAAGATGAGCGATGCGATGGCACACTGGAGCTGGAGAGAAAGGTAACAACGCCTCGCAGAATCGGATGTCGCGTGTAACCCGTTTTTGTTAGATGGTCCCTTCGAACGCAAAGTTGATCACAAACGATCAAGGGGCATGAGCAAACCACTGGCGGCCCGCGGCAGCGATTCCGGAAGCGTGACCTGTCGGGGGGTTTGGTCCCAGGCCCGTACAAGTATCTGCGATGTGTACGCTCGGATCGGCCTTCAGGCGAAGGACCGGGCCACGCTCGAGGACCCGCCAGTGGCAGCCGTGCCTGTAGCGGACAGCGCTTTGTAGCGCTTTGTCGTCTCCGCAGTTCGCGAAAGATCCCCAGTGTGTCACCCGCAGCCGAATCAACGCTTGCTCAGCTGTCACGTCTCCTCCAGGCCTGTTGCTTTCGCCGCTCACCGGCGGCGCCTCGAAATGACAAATGAGGCCACGAATTCTTGTTACGACACAACTGGTGTCCTGGCACCATTCGCTGTGCAACTCGGCAGGTGGAGCTCCCAGAAAGGCATCGAAGGCTGCCTGCACTCTGGGACATTCTTGGATCTGTTGAAGCTCCCATTTCTGCTTATTCACTGGCGGCCTCACTGGCTAAAGGATGGGAGAACACTAGGCTGAGGTACACGTCGAAGCGAGCCTCGAGGCAAGCATCATGCCTTGGGCTACACGACTTCATTTAACATGGTCCTCAGGCACACGTCGAAACAGGCCATGGTGTTCGCAGTAGTGTGCGTGGTGAGAAGAGCGAATGCGGATGTCAATGCCCGAAAGATGGGACCAGACAGGCAGGCAGGCGGACGGACGGATGGACGGACGGATGGACGGACGGGGGAGGGAGTGGAGAGGGAGAGGGAGGAAGAACGAGGGAGAGGGCGAGGCGGAAGTAGAGAGAGCAAGAGAGAGATTGCAGAGAGACCCTGTTCGGATCACGTTGCAACATGCCGTACTCTGGCGTGAAGAGATGCCTCGTTCACGTACCAGAAAAGGCCACTGACCCCGGAGGTTAAGTCGGAGTTGCCTCAGAGGACTCACACGGAGCAAACACAAGGTTTGGTCACTGAAGGCCAGGAGATCCAAGCAGCACAGCTTCAGGGTCGTCGTGGTTCCTGGTGGCAGGCAGTCCACCGCACCATCCACCCAGCTTCCATGCTTGAACCAATCGTTGTCGAAGAGGAACGACTCTGACGACCTGCACCGCACCACTTTTTGGAGTTGGCAACAGGGGGCCCAATCCTTGCGACAAGAAGCTCCAACTTTGCGAAATGTTGACGCTGGGGACCCGGCTGGTTCTCGATTTCGACCTCAAGACGCCGCTCCGTGATGCGACCACTTCTCCTTCGGGAAATCGCTGCACGGCTGCATGGCTGAATAGAGCTAGAAGCATCACAATTACACTCACTAGCAGCACCACCACCACTCAAACATGGCGACAACAAGGCCTCATCACACAACCAAAGCCTCAGCAAGACAACCAACACCACAGGCACAGCCACAGCCAGCTTCTGCAGCAAAAGCTGGAAAACCTGCCGTAGCTGCATAAAACCTGCACTTTCAGAAAATCGTAGCCTCGAGCTAGAGCTGCCTAAGCCCTGCTATGCGGTGCTCCTGCCAAGGCGAGTGGCAGCAGCCCCGTCCTCGCTGGATGTAGCACACCTTGCTTTGACCGCCAACATGCATTACCCTTTTCGTCCTGCTTTTGTTGACACAACGTGGCACGTCTGAAATCGGAATGTGTTGGTTGGACGAAGCACCCGTTGTAGAAGCACGCGGAAAATTGCCATTCACGACTGCTCCCTTCTGAGCCGCAGTGGAATCAGCTTTCTATTTTTTTGTGAGGCAAGTTGGGTCGGTGTCAAGATGTGCCAAGGCACCATGCGGCATTCTTCAATGCTGAGGAGAAATCTTCGGATAGACCTGGGATTGCAGGGCTCTGGGACTATGTAGGACTGCTCTGCGGAGGCTGCCCTGCCCTCTGGGCCAACGAACGCTTCAGGCCCACCGCTTGGGGTCCGAAAGCGGTCCGCCGGTTCGGTCGGGCATGCGCCATCCCAGGCCGGGAAACCATAGGCCCCACCGCGACCCTATGCGAGATGTACGCTCCGAAAATTCGGATCCGAAATGAACCATGCCCTCTGCGACCGAAGCTGCGCTTCATTTTGTTCGGAAGCAGGACGCAGCGTATCACCGCCATATCCTGCAACAAAACCACATACGCCGCATATCGACGCTCACTGGCTAGCAGGACAGCTTGCCTGGACTCCCACATCAAGTGCTTCCCAGGTGCCTCGCACTGTGCTTGCATGATCTAGCATGATTATCTCCCCGGCCCCGAACTGGTCCAAAGCCACGTCTCTGCCAAGCTACACCCCTCGGCACGGGTGAGGCCGTGGTCTGCAGGTAGAAGCGGCGGTGCGTTCCTGGCGAAGCTGGTTCGCGGCATGCATGGCAAGCCTCGGGCTTTTGCTGACCCGGATGCTAGAATTGGCTGAATCTGCCGAGGTTCTCCAGCAAACCAGCAGGGTCTCGCAACCTGAAGGTTGTCGGTAGGAACCCACGCGCTCTCTCGAGCACCTGTTGCCGCCACGCCACCCATGGTCTGCGCCGAAGCGAGCCGTAAAGCAGCATGAACCCAACAAGGGAAACGACACCTGGGAGGAATGCGGAGTTGCGGGCATTGGCTCCATGCAACCTTGAGTTGATATCATTCCCTGCAGGCACGTGGCAACGACGCAGAAAAACTGTGAGTGATCGCTGTTGCGAAAGGTGACCTTGAAGCCACGTGCCACATGTTGACCCACATGTACGCAGCAGCCAGAGCGATCCTAGCTCTCACTTTGTCAACCGAGCTGCATAGCCAGAAAGGCCAGATGTCCAGCTATTGCTTTCCAGCTCAATGCATGCATCCTTTGGAGATGCTGACGTACTGGGCCGGGAGAAGGCAGCGACACCGGGGCTAAAGTTATTGCACGGCTGGCCCTGTCCGAATCGTGACAATCCGTCCTCGCAAACCTCCTCCAAGCGCGGACCCACCTGTCACAAGAAAGCATACTGCTGCAAATACACTGACATGGACATGTTTTTCTCCACTGCAGTCTACCTGACGACAGATGAACTTGTACTGAGCGGAACATGAAGACCCATGCTATCTGAGACTCTTAGTAGGAAGCGATGACTCATCCGCATCTCCTACTTCATCTCCTACTTCATTGGTTTTGCCCAACGAGATACCAAGGCACCCAGCCGCCCGAGTTGAAAAACTCCCCGGCAAATATCAGTGACGACCACTGCGAGCCTTCAGTGGCAGTCAGGGCGCTTGAGAATGAAATTGATTGGCAATGTGTGGTCGAAACATTTCCCCCCAACTCACAAAGAAGCAGCAAGGTTCCGGGCTGCCAGTCTGGTACCAACAGACGAGGCACAATTTATGACTTGAATGTGGACCTTCCGCCGGAAGAAGCCATCCATCTCCTTTCGTGGTTTCCGAATTCACGCTCGACCCCACAGGACCCCGTCTACATGCGTGGCATTTTGCTGAGACTTGGATTTACTGTGATGGGCAGACTTACTGCTACCGCTGCCATTCCCGCTGCCGATGCGGGTGCTGGCTGACTGCGACCACTGCAGTTACAGCCACGATCGCTACTGCTGCTGCTGCGGCTCCTGTGCCTGCTCCCTGTCCTTGCTCCTGCTGCTCCTGACCATAACCTCGCACCAAATCCGCTGTGTAGTCACCTCCACCTACCCGGTCCAACCTCCTGCATCCTACCTCCTCCCTCGTACCTCCAGAACCTAATGCCACTTACTGCTACTTACTCACTACTACTTACTCAAGTGCCACTACTTGCTACTATGTGCTACTACTCACTCTTGCTTACTGCAACTGATAACTACTTGCTACTACTGACTACTACTGACTACTACTGACTACTACTGACTACTACTGACTACTACTGAGTACTAATGACTACTACTGACTACTACTGACTA